TATTCCTTAATATATTTATAAAGGTTAACTACTAAAAGGCCTTTAAGGTATTAGGGCTTATTCCTACTAATATATAGGTAGTGTTAGATTGCCCTAAAGTACAGCTACATACCCTACTAGTAGTACCTCTACCTAAAACACTATAGCAATCTAAGACACGAAGTAATACACACAAGTTTAGGTTTTGTGGAAGCTGAGTGGTCTCTGATCGTTGATCAAGTGTGAAGAAAGTGATCAAGTTCCTTGTTCTATCTACGGTGCTGAATGAGCAGAATATATAACGTACTCTATCACCGAGCCGGTCATATCACCGAACCGGTCACTGAAAATCCCACTAAAAAACACAGAAACTATACCCCTGCATCTCAATAACTACTTAATGGAATCTTCTAAAAACTTCAGAATAGAGCTGCATCTATATTAATAAGACTGTTTAAAAGTCTTAGAGTGCTTAGCCCTATATTGCAGATGTTGTTTAGAAGATACTGAAATACAGGGGTAGCTGCAGGCTATCTTAACATCTATACTAGTTATTAGTCTAAGACTTTTAAATAGTTTTATTAGTATAGATGCAGCTCTATTCTGAAGTTTTTAGAAGATTCTATTAAGTAGTTATTGAGATGCAGGGGTATGGTTTCTGTGTTTTTTGGTGGGATTTTAAGTGACCGGTTCGGTGATATGACCGGCTCGGTGATAGAGTACGTTACACCAATGCTCATCCAGCTATACCCTAATTAGAGCCCTAATCATGGCTCCAAGCTATACCCGATTCCGCTCACCATGGCGTGATAGATCGCCAGTGTCTGATCGGTCCAATACCCAGATGCGGATCACGTGATATGCACCCTCACCTCGATCCTTGCTGCGACAGGTCTTAATCTAAGCTTGTAAGTAAGTCCTTCTAATAATTACTTAGTATAGTGTAAGAGGGGTTCTTAAGGCTTATAAAAGGGGCTAAAGAGATACTATACAACAACATTCTTATTAAGGCCTGCGTGCAAGAGCTTAAAGAGTAATTAGTAGTAATAACTAAGAGAAAATTGCGTAAGAGAAAGCAGATTTAGCATAGTGGCGCACTTAAGTATGGCCCAGCAGCATTGCAGGTAGCTGCTGAGGCGTGTGTAGCAGCTTAGCTATCTAAGAAGACTTAGGGTGGAGGTAGTTAACTAGGAGCTTAGTTAACTGTTCAGCGCTGTAGGAACTACAGCAAGACTAGACACAACGCAATAACGTGCTAGGAGGGTGTAGAAACTTCTTCTAAATCTAATGCAAGCACGCAGTATGCTAGGTTACTATTTAATAGCAAGTAGTTGTAGTTATAGTAACTTGTGTTAGTTGTGCTAAGAGAAAATGGCTGGTTTAGTGATATAGCCGGCTTAGTGATAATCTACGTTATCAGACAATTGTCTGCTCTTTAGTTGTAGTAAGCTTTCAGCAGTTTGCGCGTACGTTGAGTTAAAATAGAGCATTGTTGGCGCGTTCAGAGAGCCTGGGCTGGTTAACGTTAAACGCAGCAGCAGCAGCCCGATAGCTCTGAAACTGTCCAGTATTATAGGCCTGGAGAGCAAGCTGCAGTCTTCCTTCATGTTGAAGCAATAAGTCGCAATGTTGTTGAGACATACTGTGAAGTGCGGAGTTGTGTTGGTCTTGGCAGATTTTGACCGGTTCGGTGATATGACTGGCTCGGTGATAGAGTACGTTAGATAAGATAGACCTAGTAAAAGAAGTTGCAAGACTTCGTGCTTAAATTTCCTAACTAAGGGCTGTCAAGCCTCAGCTCCGGCCACTGAGACAAGCAAACCAAAAGGCAACATGGCTCACACTGATGGTGAGCCTGTGCTGGAACAGTACTGAAATCGTTACAAGACACAGGTCAGAGGTGGCTTCGCCACATGCCCAGCGTGACACCTGTATGCCTCGTGGCAGATTCATACCTATTCCACGTATCTCTCTTCTTGCCTGCGTCGTTACATCCAGCACGTTGTTGTCTTAGTGTTCTTTCTAATACCTTGTAGACTGTCGCAGCACACAGAATAGGAAGAGTCGCGTCTTTAAGAGCCTAGATAGCAAGCTGTATATCTGATTCCTTTGAGGCGCTTTAGCCTTGTTGCGTTGAGACATCGCGGGTTGTATGAAGTTTAGTGTGGTCTTGGCAAAATCCGGTCACTCGCCCGAGCCGGCCACTCGCCTTTGAGGTACGTTATGGCATCTCTTACATCATATCTGCACACAGCGCTTGATGGTAGGCATCTTGTCATACAGTACTCTTGACATGAGCGGTCCGAAAACACATGTTCAGTCATCTTCGACGTACTCTGCCAATTGAGGGACTTGTTCCCTATAAATTGGCGGCGGTAACGGCTCGTGGAATCCATAACCCAGGTTTGTTTGTCAGGATGACGCCGTGGTTCCGTCAAGGGGAGCGTACAAGCGGGCACCAGGATAACTCTCTCAGCAGTCCTCTCAGCAGCCCTGAAAGTTTCTAGGATCTTCCTGAAATCCCTCATGGTTGCGTATGATCGTGTAACTGCGTGTCCTGCGAAATGCTGGAAAATACAGCCGTACCAATCTGGACGGTGCACTTTGCCGCCCTAACTCTCGGCACATCGTTCCGAGCCGCTATTGTACTAACACTAGTACCCGCTCTGCGGCGTCATCTCCCAACTCGGCTTAGTTCGCAAACCGCTCAGCTCTTGCTGAGGCGTCTACCACCACGTGCCAAGACAGAGAGGGTAAAGAGAGCGAACGCTGGCATGACGAAGTATGCGCTGGGGATGAGCGACGTGCTGGAAGTTACCTGCATACACGCTACTCGCCGATGACTGCTCGAGTCTCCACTCTTTTGCCCACGCACCAAGTGCCTCTACTATGAACCTTCCACGCTCCTATACCACCAGGACGGCTTTCGACACTGCATCTGACGATGAGTTGTATTCTGCATGTCCTGACAGACCTCATCTTGCAAATACCTGGGCCATGCAGCTGTGCGAGGCTCCCTTGAACTTCTTTGATCTCCCTTTCGACGCAAGCGTTGCACGTTACGACCTGCCCTCAGGCTTGTCACCCAGGTCTCCAGAAGCGTCAGCGAATGCCTTCGCCGTTGCTGCCAACGTCGGGATGAGCTCGTTGCAGATCCCGCCCCCCGCTGACGCATCTCTACGACGCGCTTCGTCAACGCCCTCGCCTGGCAGCGATAAGCCTTTGAACAGCCCGAGCTGCAGTGCAAGGCTCGAGTCGCCTCCGCACGTAACAACTGACGCCGGGCCGACACCTAAGCGCCGGAAAAAGAAGCGCGGTTGGCCTGAACTCGATCTGATCGCCAACGGCGTCTCGGGCGTATCAGCCGAAGACCATTATTGCACGGCTCCCATCCCGCACAACAAAGTGGAGCGCAAGTACCGCGAGGGCTTGAACACCGAACTGGAGAGACTGCGAAGAGCCGTACCGATGCTGCTGCAGAGCCACGGTGGGAGTGGCGTTGGCCAACCAAAGCCTAGCAAGTCCATGGTGATTGCCGCCGCGATCAATTACATCGAGATGGTTACGCAAGAGCGCGATATGCTGCAAAACGAGAACGACGCGATTAAAGAGTATCGAAAGGAGACTAGCAAACATCGGGACGGGATGCAGGAGGAAATAGGCGAGATCCGAAAAGAGAAGAGCGCTTTGAATGGTGGGCGGTGGTCGAAGAAGCGGCGAGTGGGACCTGGTTCTGAGTGAGCCGATTGTTAACTGTTGTGGCAAGCATTGATTTCCAGATCCTGCCTGCCCACTAATTAATGGAGGTACTTATGAGAGCGTACCATCTGCGCTTCTCAAATTCTCAAAGTAATAAGCAAATGACACCACTTGCTGGAGGCTTTGAGATCTGCACTGCTCTCTCCAGAGCACGTAGTCTATAGAGCTGTCGCGTCCCCAAATTCGTCGGAGGACGCAGAGTGATCATAACTAGGCCCGTCTCTATATTAAGCGTTCAACTGCAGCAAGTGTGCTAGAGAGAAGAACTTGTGCGGTGGAGTTCGCATCGACTCTGATGAGTTGGCAGCGGATCTTGTCTGCACCAAATACAAACAATTACCACCCAGCGATGGTTGCATAATACGGGGTAGCCTCGGATGCGACAGCGACCTCCCCTCCTAGTAACGCACTCAATGGCTCTCCGCAGGGCTGAACGTAGCCTTAGTTACTTTCAGCTGTTGCGCAATTATTAGTCCCTTGTGAAAGAAGAGATGGCTTGTAGGTGCGCTAAGCTCACTCCGAAACCCGTCCTGCCACAAAGCCAGCATTGTGGATCTAATAGTCCAAGTAGGTGTTCCCTTTGGCGTAGCTCTCGTGGTGCTAGTAGTAGACCTTCGTTGGTCTGTTGGCGGCGCACGAACTGATGAAGATTGGTCACTGCGTGTCAGGTGGCAGCGGGAAGCACAGACATAGAAAAAGAGAAAAGCTTAAGGAGACTAAGAGAGTCACCACCATGCCTCAGCAGAGAGCTAGATTGGTTGCAAAAGCAGAAGTAGGAAGATGAGAGATCGTTTCCCCTCTTAGCATTAACGAACGAGTGTCGCTGTCTCTCGAACATGTGCCCCTCTAACAATTGTTTCCCCCCACATGCTCCCGCCCAGCTGCTCGTTTCCCTCTCTCAGCCCATCCCTCTCATGTTCAATCTTCGCGATGTATGCAACCGCGCACGACAACACCATCGCTTTGCTTAGTTTAGGCTGGCCCATGACGGCGCCATCCCCCCTCTGCAACAGTGTTGGGACTGCTCGTCTCAGCCTTTCAAGGCCCGAATTCAGCCCCTCGCGGTACTTGCGCTCAACTTGCACGTGTGGCTGGCGGGACGTATGCTGGCGATGCTTCCAAGACGGGGCATTGCTGGGTGGGCCTGGCACCGCTCCGGAAAGCTTACGATCAAGTCTTAGTCGGCCGCGCTTGCGCCCGGGTTGCTTTGGAGCCGGCTCTTCGCCTAGTGCAGGTGCTTCTCTGAGCTTCTCGTGCTCCGACGATGATGGAGGTGAAGATGCAGGGACGGGGATAGCATCGCCACAGAAAGGTGATGTAGAAGAAACACTGGTGCTAGGTGTGATAGGTATCCCTATGTCGAATGCGGGGACCGTTTCAAAGATGGAGGCGCATCCTGACCCCACCTCGTCAAACGGCTGCGCAGGGTAGAACACAGAGCCGCAATCCCAGCCCGAGGAGCAGTTGACGCTTGACTGGTGCCAGTCGAAATAAGAATGGTCAAGGAAGGTCGCTAGAGACTGGTCGGGTGGCGTAGTGTAAAGGTCGGCGAAGCAAGACTGATCGAACGGGTTTTGGTAGGGGACATGGTCGTTGATGGGCGAGTAGTCGGAGTCAGCGACCGTAAAGCAGGCGGTGAAACCTGAATACATGGCAACCTGGACGGAAAGAGCATCCAGTGAAGTCGCGATTCTGGTCAAGGCGTTGAGATGAGCGGCTGCCGCGCAACAATGGAGGACTGTTGAGGCAACAGATGACAGGGTGTGTGGTAGAAGACCAACGGCAAGTGGATGATGTAATACTGGTAGGCTACGTGAGTCCTGTTGCCCAAATATTTCTTCAGCGAAATATCTAATTGTTTCCAGCGCGTCCTCATATACTCGCAAGGTCGCCTCTTATGCGGCCAACAAATCTTTTGGGCGTGCTGCTACCGGGGAAATAGCCCATAACAACAGCCCACAGAGACAGCGATCGAGATCTGGTGGGCTGTTTACGAAACCGTCGAAGACGGGCCGTGGACCTCAGGCGGTGCAGGCCGGCATTGCCAAGCAGTCGTTCACGACCCTGATTCGCGCCAAGATAACGGAACATAAGAGGGTAGTGACTCGCAGTCACAGTCTGCGACGTGCCCAGCATTCCATCATTTGCCTGCTCTTTGAACATTGTCGGTCACGTACAGTTGAGCTTTGAATCTGGGGCTGGAGTGACGCCGAGTGAGGTCACGGAGGACCAAGGTGCAATTCTACCCTGCAAAGAGCCAGAGCAAGCAAACCTTCCACACCTGCCTAATTGCTCTAGACTGCTTCAGAGCCAACTTAGGGAGCTCCGGATATTTTTAATGCTTCATTCAACCCACGGACTGAAGAAATACTTCCCACACCCACGATACCCGCTTGCACTTCAGCACCTTATCAACGAAAGGTCCGAATGCGAGACCCCAGCGCAGCGAGGAAGAGAAACGGCACACTCCGCGATCGGGAAGCGATACCTATGCATCTGGAAGCGGAATGTAGTCAGCGCTACTCGGGTGCAATGCGACGAGCCCACCGCTAGCTGTACCTCCAAATTGTGTACGCATGCTCACAACATGACGGTGCTCAACGCATCGCCACCGCAGCTGTTGTTTGGGCACGACACAATGAGCGTCGCCTTGTCGCGCGATCTGCATTAACTAGGTACCGTAACTACCGGTAGCAGCGTGCAACGCTGCCCCGCCACGATCCTGGCGGATCGAACCCACAGCGTCCCATCACTAGTTCGTACGTAGCTAGAATTGACATCTAACTTTCTGGAGGATATGCAATTATACTTTGCGCATCGTTTGGAAGCAGTCATTTGCAGTGTTCATAGACCTGAATGCGCATCTGGTACAAAACTTGTGACATTGAGATTACAACACTAGTGTGATTTCCCCGCTGTGACTGACTGACCACTGCAGAAACCCCACCTTACACGTAAAGCACCCTTCCCTGTCATAAAGATAAAATATCATGCTGGTACTACGAGAGGTTTGTGTGCTGGTCAGATGACGCCAACCACAGCACTCGAGAGGTTGTGCGGCCCAGCCCGTCTTCTAGAGAAAGCCAATGTGAAAAGGAGTTGGAGCAAAAGGAGTCATTGCGACTCGAGGAATGTTTTTAAGTCTAGGTCAGCCATGCCGACTGATCTATTGGAGAAAATCATACAAGGATGTCTACTCTTGAAACTCCACATATGCGGGTCGCGGACACCAATAATGTGTTTGTGCCACGGTTCTGCGTGTCCACTTGCCCGATCAGTTGCCAAGCAGGCACTTCCATATTACTATGGGTTGACCGCGCATTATAAGCGAGCGCCGATTCTACAACGAGGACATCACGCCACAGCCTGACTGCACATGCCTCTGAAGTGGGCATGTCATTTCGAGGTGCGGCAAGAGAGTATCTGATTAAAGAAGTCCCTCTTACCCTTATTGGTAACGCCAGGACACTCTGATCGATGTTTTTGCGCGATTCTCCTTCAGCTCCTCAGCTTGACTATGACTCAAACACGCGCCAGCAACTTGGAAAGTACGAATCCAGGTCTTTTGGACAACCTTACTTTGAATTCTAAGAGTGAAGTTCCGTACCTTGGAGGCCCCCGAAATGGAGCAGCTCTCTTTCCAAACCCCACCTTCGACGTCACCTCGAAAGATGTAGCTAGCGATACAGCCACGTCGAAAGAAATCCCATGTCATCAGGAAGATGAAAAAAACACGAGCTCCACAGCAAGTGGCTTCCTCTCATGCAACAGAGGAGGAAACAAGGTCAACAAAGCGCCTTGGCTAGTACCTCACACCGCAGAAGAACAGAAGAACATGTGGTATCACGCATCTCTGGGTATGGGCAAAAAACAAGTTGCAGACGAATGGGGCTTCAAAAGCACAAGCGTTTCGCGATCGCATTCACCCCACGACGCTGCTAAGCCCCAAAGTACCATCAGCGACGAAGATTCCGGAAAAGCAGGAAGCCTTCAAGCCAGTTAGATCTGAGAGATTTGAAGACAGATTGAGGAGACACATATCTCGGTGTAGTTGTCCGTGCGGGTGAGGATCGCCACGGATGCTGTACACCAGATAAACCACGTGGTAGTCTTACAGACTTAGCGTAAAAAGCGTCCAGGAAATTGCATACAGAGTATTAAGAGCCACGAGGAACGTATTGATCATATGAGAAAATGGAAACCTTTGATTGCGCAGCCACATAACATTGCTGTGATGCGAATCACCGTCGTTTTTGCCTCGTGTTGGAGAAGCGAGTTGTCCAGGAAAAAGATTTAAACATCATGGCTGATAACCAAGGAGTGTAACAATCATGATAGATGGGACTGCTATAGAAATGAAGTCCACGCAGTGCCGCAAGGCCGTCATAACGTAGATTATCACCAAGCCAGCCATATCACCAAACCAGCCATTTTCTCTTAGCACAACTAACGTGGTCCACCACCGAGCGGATCACCCCACCGAGCGAATCACTCTGCCAAGACCACAACGCTTTCTACTATCAATTACAATGGCTTAACTAGTTGATCTTGAATTACTTTCCTGTGCAGATAGAGTTATACTTGCTACCCAAGCAATAAAATCCAACGCGTCACTAAGCCAGCAACGCGCTGCTGCTATCTACAAGGTTCCTCAAAGTACACTTAGCCATCAAGGCGCCAGAAGAACCCCACAACGCGATACCCACCCCAACTCATCTAAGCTTCAGAAGCATGAAGAGGAGGCAGTTATACAATATATAAGGAAGCTTGACGCTAGAGGCTTTGCCCCTACGCTTAGCCACGTACGTGGAATGGCTGACCAGCTACTAGCTAAGCGTAGTGGTGGCCAGGTTGGGGAGAACTGGGCCTATAGGCTGATCCAAGGCCGGCCTGAGGTCAAATCTCAGGTGACTCAACTCCGTGATTACCAGCGAGTCCTCTGCAGTAATCCAGCTATTATCAGCCCCTAGTTTAACCTTGTACGTAACGTTAAAGCTAAGTATAGTATCCTAGATTAAGACACGTACAACTTTGATAAGACTGGCTTCTAGATAGACGTTAGGGGGTCTGTGAAGGTAGTCACAGCCTCTAAGAGGCGCCTTAAGCTACTTAGGGTTCAGCCTAGTGACAGGGAGTAGGTAATGTTGATTGCCGCCATTAACGCTATAGGGTGGGTTATCCCACCCTTCATCATCTTTAAAGCTAAGAACCACAACTAGGCCTAGTATTATAACCCTCAGGATTAGAGAATAGGGGTTAGTAATAATAGATAGACAACAAATAAGCTTAGGCTTGCCTAGCTATAGCACTTTATTAAGCACACAGAGGTTAAGAAAGTAGGTAGTTACAGAATACTAATTCTTAATAGCTATAAGAGCCATAAGTCACTCGCCTTCTAGGATCTTTGTAAGGAGAACAATATTATCACCCTCTATATGCCCCCTCACACCTTACACATCCTTTAGCCGCTTAATGTAGGTTGCTTTGCCCCCCTAAAGTGTGTGTACAAGGAGGAGATCTAAGTCTTAGCAAACTGCTATATTAACTACATTAACAAGAAAGCCTTCCTAGCTGCACTTACCCTAGTATTTAACTAGGCCTTCTTAAAGGACAATAACATGGTTGGCAAGCAAGTCGGTCAGACAAGCGAGTCGGTCACCCCACCAACTTTTGCAACTTCAAAGCGATATATCTCAACAACACAATAATATTATTGCTAGATATTAATATAGTAGACTACTCTATATCAATAGTATCAGCGTTGCATGTGCGCGAGTTGTGCCCAGTCTCTTTACACCTAGTGCAGCGCCTTTGAGCGCGCTGGCTGAGGCCTGATCGCGCTCCTCCTTGACGCTCTTCATGAGCAATCTGCTGGTCAGCCTCATTTTGAGCCAGTATATCCTCTCCAG